CCACATGCATCATAAAAAAGAATTAAAGTATAAGCATTGTATTATATATAAAATGAACTCTTAATTTTATGTGGATTTATGTTATGTGAACATAAATTGAAATTCAAGTGTTAGAAACTATTGTTTATTTTTTATTACATTTTTCAACTATAAAAGTGATTAATACAAAATGGATTTTCATTCACCATCTCAATAGAAAAGAAAGACATCAACGGAATTGAGAATATGTTTGTCAATGTGAAAAAATATTGGTTGAGCAATCACTTAAGTGCAATGAACGTACATGATCCCAAAATACTTAAAAGAACACCTAGAACATTAAAGTTTAATTGTTTAATTTCGTTAAAAAACACATTTTTAATATTGAGGGTCGAACAAATTCAAAATTCAGATCGTTTCATGTTATTATATCATGGTACATTTTATGAAGATCTAAAAAGTAGAATAGTATTCATATCAACCGACAATATAACTATAATACAACAAAAGCTAAACATATTTCCTTTCAAAATTCAGACGCTTCATGTTAATATATCATGGTACATTTTATGATAATATAAGAAGTAGAATAATATTCATATCAACCGACAACATAACTATAATACAACAAAAGCTAAACATATTTCCTTTCAAAATTAAATAAGCACATTGATAGTATAAAACATACTTCTTATCTTAAACAAAATTAAACAAACTCTTCTCGATTAATAGGAGAACCTATAAGCTTATCTTAGAAAAAACATCAATGTCGTCTACATCTCTTTCTGAATATTCTTCTAAGCCAAGAAATCTTCTCTTCATTAACTAATCATAAAAAAAATATTCAAACAACACTAAAATCACCCAAAGGAAATGCAAATAGAAGCATAGCCATGAACAAAGAAATTGCAGAGAGCGTATTTCCTTGTTTCAACAAAAAAAAAGCAGTAAATATATATATAATGAAATTCTATTGTTTCAAATAACTGTAAAAAATTTAAATTTTGAAAAACAGTAACCAATTTTTAATTTAATTTTTTTTATAATAATAAAAATTTGTATTGTTGACATGTGTCATTCTTATTCTAATTATTGATATGTGTATATATTTCTATATTTATTTATTTATTAATTATTTAAAATTATTTAAAATTCTAAATATTTTGTGGTATTGACATGTGTCATTTTTTCTTATCCTTTTATATATAGATAGATTCCCTATATATATATAAATAAAGTTCATTAAAAAAATTAGTTGATCTTATTTTTCTTCAAATGTGTAGTATTATTTGTTGAATTATTTCCATTCTTCTTATCTTCATCTTTTTATGGAACGAATAGGTAGATTATTTGTCCGCTAGTTGGGAAAAAAAGTTTGAATATACTTGCAAATAACAAAGTGAAAGTCCAAGAAGAAGAACAACAACATTTATCAAAATAGAAATCTTCTGCAAATGATGATATTGTTAGATCTATAATGTCTTTCTGTGAATTTTTTTGGGTTCATTTCATTCAATTTGATTTGTTTCTGTCATATATTGTACTTAAATTCTTTAGGTCGAATGAGTTTTTCATGTTCTTTTTTTATTTACATTTGTACCTTTGATGATTTTTACTGTGATTAATTTATTTATTTTACGATTGTGTTATTTTTTACTTAATTTAAGTGAAGTTATTCTAATACTTTGTATGTTATCATTTTCTGTTAATTTTTTCTATTCAATCATTTATATTAACATGTTCTTATATTATTGAATTATTTGAATAGAATAATTTTTTTAATTTTATTATTTTTTGGTAATTTTTTATTCCATCATTTATACTAGCATGTGTTTATTATTGAATTATGGATGTATTCTTCTTCAAATGTGTAATGTTGTCTGTTAAATTATTTCCATTCTTCTTATCTTCATCTTTTTATGGAACGAATAGGTAGATTATTTGTCCGCTAGTCGGAAAAAAAAGTTTGAATATACTTGCAAATAACAAAGTGAAAGTCCAAGAAGAAGAACAACAACATTTATCAAAATAGAAATCTTCTGCAAATGATGATATTGTTAGATCTATAATGTCTTTCTGTGAATTTTTTTGGTTCATTTCATTCAATTTGATTTGTTTCTGTCATATATTGTACTTAAATTCTTTAGGTCGAATGAGTTTTCTATGTTCTTTTTTTATTTACATTTGTAATCTTTGATGATTTGTACTGTGATTAATATTATTTTTTTACGATTGTGTTACTTTTTATTTAATTTAAGTGAAGTTATTCTAATACTTTGTATGTTATCATTTTCTGTTAATTTTTTCTATTCAATCATTTATATTAACATGTTTTTATATTATTGAATTATTTGAATCGAATAATTTTTTAATATTATTATTTTTTGTTAATTTTTTATTCCATCATTTATACTAACATGTGTGTATTATTGAATTATGGATGTATTCTTCTTCAAATGTGTAATGTTGTCTGTTAAATTATTTCTATTCTTTTTATCTTTATTTTTTTATTTGGTGAATAGGTAAATTATTTGATGGCTAGCCGAATAAAATTTGAATATATTTGCGAATAAAACAGTAGAAGTTCAAGATAAGAAAAACAATATTTATCAAAGTGAAAATCCTCTGCAAATGATGATATTGTTAGATCTATAATGTCTTATTATTATTTTTTCCAGTTTATTTCATTCAATTTGATTTGTCTTTGTCATATTTTGTACATAAATTCTTTAAATCAAATGATTGAACCATTATTCTATTCTTCTTCAAATGTGTAATGTTGTTTGTTAAATTAGTTTCAGTCTTCTTATCTTCATTTTTTATGGGGTGAATAGATAGATTATTTGATGGCTAGCCGAAGAAAATTTGAATATATTTGCAAATAAAAAAGTGAAAGTCCAAAAAAAAGAAGAACAACATTTGTCAAACTTAAAATCCTCTGAAAATAATGATATTGATAAGTATAATGTCTTATTGTGACTTTTTAGTTTATTTCATTCAATTTGATTTTTTTTATGTGATATTATGTACTTAAATTCTTTAAATCAAATGAGTTTTATATTTTTATTTATTTACATTTGTAATCTTTGATATTTTTATGGCAATTAATATTTTTTTTAGATTGTACGTTATTTTTTAAATTTAATTTTAATGAAGTTATTCTAATACTTATTTATTTTTTTCATTTTCTGTTAATTTTTACTCAATCATTTACACTAACATGTTTTTAATTGTTGGATTATTCGTAATATATTCACATTTTTAAAATGCTAAATATGTGCACTTGAATATCTTAATTGCTATGGAATTATTAATATAATGTATCGATAAATGTAGAATATCATGATTTATGCATATTATTCCACTTTCTTATAGCTTTTTAGTAATATACTTGTGAGTGATAAAATATTAAAGTATGAACAAAATTTTGTTCATTTGTTCAGTTAAATTTTATTTAAAATATAATTTTTAAAATTTGTTACTATACTTAAAATAAATGGTTTGTCTTTGAAATTTAGAACCTTCAAACCTATAGAATATACAACTATTCTAAAAATTAAATGTACAAAAAAGACTTCTTATATTACAAGATATTAGAGAATTTGAAATTATTTTGTCGATATTGAAATAAATAATAGGTCATTTAGTTAATTAGAAATTATCATTTAATTAATAAGAGAATATGCACCATTGTATATGAGATCGAGACAAATAGTAACGTGTTTCAAAATATTAGATCAAAGCGAATTCAAAATTAAGATTATTTTTTTATAACGTGGAATTCAGACATTTTAAAAAAATATAGAATTTATATAAATTTTTAAATAGTTAATTAGGAATTATAAAATTATTTTTAAAATGATAAGTTAGTTATTTTAAAATTATAAAAAAAATTGTAATTTTTTAAATAATTGAGACTGACTAATTAAAAGTTCAAATTTTGAATTTAATATTTATAGTTTTTGAAGATAGTTACACTTTTCTGACTTTATCATAATTGTAAGATAATTATATAACTAGAAAGTACTCTCTAATAATGCATGTAATTATTTTGTTTGTTCAAAAAAAAAAAATATGTGTACGTTACCTTATTTTTTATCTCAATTATGTAGAAACTTTAATAGTAATCATATATAATTTCAATCATTATAATTAATAGAACATTAGAAGAATTATTACTAAAGGTATTTATGTTAATAAAAATTAAATTGTTGTATGCATTATTGATATATGACTAAATAAAATAATACGGGGAAGAAAATAGTAAGTAAACATTATATGTTGTATTGAAATATATTTAAGTTAATAAAAACAGAAAAAGTATTATTTTTATGATTCAACAAAAATAACAATTTGAAGAAAATAATAAATAAAAATTTCACGTTGTATTAAAATAATAAGTACTAAAAATTATGATAAATTTTATAATAGTCATAAAAGGAATTTATGCAATAATTACTATAATAGAATACTAGAAAAATTGATAAGTTCCTCGACATATAATCATTGATAAAAAATTAAATTATTATTTTCTTTTTCGAAAGTTTAAAAGTAACTTATTTAGTATTTGTGATTAAATATTTCCAATGATTAATAAAAAAATGTATATATCATGAACATGTTTCTATTATTATATGACATTATTTTATATTGACTCTATTTTAAATTACTTTTTTATTATCGTTTGACACAAATTTAAGAATGTAAAGAATATGTTGAATCTTTTGAATTTGAAAAAAATATATGCAAAATATATTAACATGTCATTTAATCTTATGATATTTTTACTTTTCATGTGAAATATTTTTAACTAATAAATTGTTAATATGAAAAATATATTAATTTATCAATACAACATAAAAATAATAAAGGACAAATATGTAAAAATATTTCAATTATTTGATGTTTCATGAAATTAAATTAATCATAAATTCATATATAGTTGCGCAACGCATGGTACGAATCTGTTGCTTTTCATTTACACAAATACTGAATAACTCTGCTCAGACGAAAATTGTTTGTATCAATTATACTCCAACTCCTTAAGATTTTCTTCAGAAGCATCAATAGTTGGAAGTTTTATCCTAAGTTGCTCTACATTTTCATGATATTTTCCATATGAGAAAACAAGATAGCAATAATCATCTTGGTAATTATCACTAACCAAGGTATAAAGTTGTTGTCCTGCTGCAAAGCCACCAAGAAGTTGATATGATCTTTGTGATTGATCCATAGTTACACAAATATCATCACCACAAGCAGCAACTTCTATTTGTGTTCTATAGATGAAATCCAAAACTTGTGAAATTTCTTTTTCAAACTCATAAAATGGTCCATTTTCAAAGTTGAATTTTCTAAGCTTACATAGTCCTTCTCCCAATTCCATCATTGCTCCTTTGTGATTTTTGTTGAATAAGTGATGGAATCCTACTGCACATTGAAGAATTCCGTGGAGTAGAGTTCGAATCGGCTCTTGGGATTCGTTCCAAAGGGCTTCAAGAACATCGTGACATCTGTCAGAGGTGGCAAAATAAATTCATATTTTAGTAACATGTTTAATCCTCCTAACTATAAACGGATTGACATTGGGGTTATTTGCATAAAATTCAATTTTTTATAAGAATTTAAATTTTGTTCCAGTTTGCCCAGTAGACTAAATTTATCTGTCATAAAAAGAAAAAATGTTTAAACTGCTTTCAATGACCACGAAATTTATTGGCTAAATTTTTTAGAGGTCAAATAAGTTTAAAAAAAAAATGAGGGGAGTAACAAAAACTGTTTTCCAAAAGTAAAAAAGTAATTTTTTTCCAAAATTACTTTTTTGAAAAATACATTTATAACTTACTTTTATAAAGATTGACCAAATAATTTTTTTTCTCAAAAGTGTCTTAAAAATTTATTCATCAAAATACAAATGACTTTACCAAAGTACTTTATTAAAAAATGCTTTCCAAAATAAGTTGATTTTAGAAATTTGAGCAAACAAGATATTAATCTACTGAACTTAAAACATGATTGTAAAGAGTAACCTCAAAAGAAATTAATAGGGGTCTAAATAGCGTAACGTGACAAGTCAAAATGCAAATCCTGTCCAGACATACATTATCAAATTTTGCAATGGGGAATTGTGTGAATTTCGAAGAAATTAAACTAATAATTTAAGAAAAATAGATTAATTTTCACAATTTTTTATTTTTTTTAAAAAAAGATAGATAAGGAAAGGAGAATGGTCATATTAGACCGAGCCAATTTTGACCTAAGCAAACTTCGAAAACATTACATAACGAATCATTTTATAATTTGACTCGTTAATTTGTTATTTTTACCTGTAATAATCTCTGCTATTAAAAAGCGCCACAGCTTCTTGGAAACTATAGTTTTTCGATTTATGATCATCTTCGTCCTCCACAAAACTCCTTCGAGAAAAAAGGCGATAACTATATGATGATGGTGAAGTGTAATTGGTCTCCTTGAATTGATGATAATATAATTGGTTATGGAAATGAACCTTTGAGTATGGAAAATTAGAGAGTGAAGATATGTTAGTAAAAGATATTAGAGTTTGATTGAATTTTGGGAGACTGATAGAAATGTTATTAGCCATAGAAGAATTGATTTTCCTAGCTGCATCTTTTTTGTCTCTTTTATTGTGATGGTTTTTAATTTGTGGTTCATTTTTTCTCACTTCAAAAATCAGATATTGCTTTTAAAAAAATCTCCCAAGATTTTTCCTTTAAATGTAGGGAAAGTTACACATTTAACAAGTCAGTCAAAAATAATGAATTACATTCGATAGTCAAGTATACGGAAAAAAATGTGTTTTCTCTATTTTAATTTGTTTGTTTGACTTTTCTTTTTAGTATATTTTAGAAAAAATATCGCTTTTGTTTTTCTGCAACTCTTTAATTTTGACTTTTCATATAAAATATTTAATGCCGGTAGATTAAAGGATAATTTGATAATAATTCAATTTAAGTTTCTTACCTTTTGTTCAGAAAATAATTATAACAATTTATTTTCTAAGAAAATAAAAATATAAAACTTAACTTATGTTTACAGAAATCAATATCTTCTTCGTATCATTTAATTTAAGTATCTTAATTTTCTTTTAGAAAATAATTGTAATAATTCATTTGGGATGGTGTATACTCAGATATTTCCTTGCACTTTCTATTTGTGGAATATTATATAAGGCCCAACCTGTTGGGAAAAGAACACTTATTTCCCAAAAAAAGTAAAATATTTACTTTTAAATGTTCCATTACTTTCATATTCCTTTTTTTTTTAATTTTAAAATGATATATATTACTAATTTTTTTCGCATGCTAATGTTATGTTGATATCAGTGCCCACCTTTTTTTTTTCTCTTCGATACCATCACAGTATATTATAATATATGGATATACTCTAGTGATATCAAAGAGTAATTGAGCAGTGTCTTCATTGAAGGACAATTTCTTCCTCCTTGATACCATCAAAGTATAATATAGTTTGGTGGTATCAATGAGTAACTGAACAATGTCTTCTTTGAGATTTACTTTAGTCCTTCGATAAGATTACTCAGTCATCCATTATACCATTACGATATATCTACGTATTGTCGTGATATCATTGAGGTATGTTTCAATTCTTCAATATTTTAATTTTTAAAAATATAAGAATATAATTCTACTAATTTAGAGTTTAATAAATAAGATTGTAACCAACATGGGTTGTGGTGCACTGGTGGGAGTGTTTCACCCTTAACTAGAGGTCTCGGTTCGAGCCCGGCGCGATCCGAATTTAGTCGGTGCTCCAATGTGTGGGCTCCGGACACCGGGTGGGAAACAAAAAAATAGTAATAAGATTGTGTGACTTTAATATTTTTTTCTTAATTGTTTCTTATTTATTTCTTAAAAAAAAAAAAATTCGATCCTATATGATACTGATAGTGGAAGAAAATAACAATTTACGTTTGTGGCACGTCAAAATCAAGCTTTGAAGAAGCTTTAATGGATAATGGAGTCTGACAATCCCAACCAACTCAAAATCTCTCCTTTTAACACTCCCAAATTTTATATATGAACTCCTCTCGGTGTTTCAAATCTTTGGATATATTATTCACTCTAAACAATTCACGTTTGCGGCATGTCAAAATTCAAAATCAAGCTTTGATGATTGAATATTTTTGGCACATAGTTGGTTGTCAAACATAGGTAACCTTTTGTTCCATCACACTGCCCCTCTCATTCCTGAAATAGCCACACTCAGGTAGAGTTGATCCAATTTGTACTTCTACTACTTGTGAACTAATATCCTCCTCTACAACTTCACATATTTTCATGTGTTACATACTGACTCTCATAATTAATCCGGCTTCTACTGTTTTTAAAATTTAAAATCAAATTGAAGAATTTTCAGATTTATGAGAAAAAATATAGAATTTAAGAAAATCCAAATTATATATCTATATAAAATTTCGACTTCAAATCAACCAAAACATTCTGCAATTCTAAATCTATATAAAAGATTTTTCTTACCTTCAAAATAAGAATAACACTCTTGTAAGAACAAAACTATAAAAAAATGTTGAAACTAAATTTGTTGGGGTATTCAAAAAAGAGAATCCCTCCAAAAATTGGTGTATGCCACTAATTGCAGCGCGCGCACACGGTATTCTTTAGTAAAAGGCAAAAGAATAGTTCGCTTTGTGCTCACTACGTGGCTGCCTAAGTTTCGCTAAATTTATGTGTGTGTTTTATATTACGACAAAGTTTGTATTTACTTATTATTCAACGGTGTGGTACTTGCCTCACTCCTTTAATATCTACATGAACGAAAATCATCATGTTTCTTTGATGATTTTGAATATATATGGTCACAAGCTGATCCATGAAATGTCACATAGAATATTTTGGCCAGTATCACGAATATACTTGAATTGTGCACGAAGTTAGGATTTTTATTAAGGAAATTCAATAGAAAAAAAATAAACACACAAAGAAGGCAAAGAGGATTCAATAATAAAAATAATTTTAACATTATATATGTCTCGCAATGGAGCGGTGTCGGGCGGTGTGGGACGGGTTGAGCTTAACCTGCAAAATTTTTAATCCACTCCGCTCCGCCCCCGCATCACAATTTTTTTCATTTTCGACCTGTCTTGCGCCGCACATAATTCTTTTAATATTTTCTTTTTCTATTTAAGTTTGATATTAAAAATAAAATTCATACAAATAAAATTATTTTTTTATTAAGTTATATAAATTTAAGAGATAATTACTTAAAAATTTATTTATTAGAAGTCAATTGAAAACATGTAAGATATCGTAATATTTTTTATTGAATCATTTTCTTTTACTATCTTGAATATTTTAGTAGCTTTAAAGAAATTATCTTAATAAATAATGTTTTATCACACTCTTATAACATGTAAAAAGTTAAAATTAAGTTTAAACCCACATAAAATCACATATAGCACCAACCGCCCCGCCCCGCATTAGTTTTAAAAAAACCCACTTCAACCCACCTCGCATCCCTCTCGCCCCGCCTAGCATAGCCTTAAACCACCCTGCCACGCATCCGCCCCACCCCATTGTCATCCCTACTCTCGAGCTAAGATTTTGAAACCAACAGAAAGTGGAGTGGATAGGGTTTAAGCCAACACTACATTGTGTTCTACCGAACTCGTAATAGGAATCACTACAACAAAAAAAGTTTTTAGCAGCAATAAATATGCATATTAACAAAGAAAGAATGCTAAAAAAATTTACCAACAAAAACTTTAGTAACATTTACAAAGAGTACTAACATGTAATTGTCACTAATATAATTACCTCTAAAAGATAAAAAATATATTTTTAGCGCACAACTGGACTACTTGTGAAGAGCCTGTATTCTGCTTTCAACAAACTAGAATCTCAACACTGGCCCCCACTATCACAAATTATGATGTAGACTCAACCACTTGGACCGACCTTAAACAAGCACCCTTCCAGAGTGCAATGGAAGTCACCAGCCTAGGCGATGGATCTTATTGATCACCCATTAACTCCATCCAGGGAAGCATGTTTCACGTGCCTCCTTCCTATCCTTTTATAGCCATCCAGATTCTGCATTCCTTCATTTCAGTCGATGAGGGAGACTTTGCCCTATATTTATTTTTTCAACTTTTAGCACCACATAAACAACAAACACATCTTTACAGCTCTCTTAAAAGCACTTAATTATGCACAATAAACAAATCTTTTTCGGATCTCTTAAGAGAAAAGATGTCACTCTTGGAAAAGTTTTAACAAAATAATAAAATCTTATGAACCCTGGTATATGAGCAAATCATGTAATTTTCATTTTGTTCTTTCTTCACCAAAGTCCACATTTCTCCTACAACAAATGATTTCTAGGAGTAGAACAACAAAACTATATAGACATGTTCTTTAAATGTGATTGGCATGTTCCGAAGCCATTATGGTACAACAAATCCTTTCGTTCCTCTTATCAGTTATCGCTGTTTGAGTCTCAGATTGATCCATCCTCAACAACTTTGCTAATCAAAAATCCGATATTCTTGGATTATCAAGAATTGTGTATGTTCTTTAAGTGTTAGGTCACAATGGATGATCCGTGTGCTACACGAGCACCCGTGCAAATACAAGAGTCCCCTGGCCCTCTGATTCCATATATGTCAATGTTAGATCACCAAAAAGGAAACTTGCTAATGTCCCATTATTCAACAACTTATACACAAACAATCTGCAAAGTGTTTTCCATAAACAAAATGGCTTATAGTTTTTCATCTTTTGTGTATCTATCTATAAGCTTACAGCAAGAATGTTGGACTCAATGAGTTTGTCCAAGTTTGCCTTTGACAATAATGACATTATTCACTGGAAGTTTACTTCTATAACAAGATGAATTATGTTAAAATTTTGTTTTAGAATTGGGTAGGGGCCGCGCGAACGCAGGCCCCCGCTGCAACAAATTATGACGTAGGCTCGACCACTTGGGCCGACCTTAGGCGGGTACCCCTCCAGAGTGCAATGGAGGTCACCAACCTAGGCCATGGGCCTTATTGATCACCCATTGACCCCGTCCAGGTAAGTATGTTCCTTGAAGCTCATACCTTTTTTCTTATACCCATTTTAGTCCCTTTATTCCTTTGTTTCAGCCAATGAGGGACATGTTACCCTTGATTATATATATTTTTTCATTTATAGCACCACATAAACAACAAACAGGATGACTAATTCATCTCTCTTTGCCTTTGTAAGTGGAACATATGGAAGGCAAAAGACAGGCAACTCCGAGTTGAGCTAAAGCTGTATCAATGGCAATGGTTTGGCTCATGAAACAACCATTCAACCAATGGCATTAGCTTTGAGTTCAAAACAGGGCTCTTTCCTCCAAACATTAGTTCACGTAATGCAATTTCGTTTTTTTTCTTTATCCATATGGTAAATGGAGAGACTATTGCAAGAAAATTTTGTTTAAAAGTAGCATATTCTTCTTTTGATTTTCAATCCTTTCTCTGTTTCATCTTTCTTCACCAAACAATCTTTTGCTTCATCTTGCTCAATTACTTATACACCACACACACATTTGTCAACATTTCTGAAGAGTACAAGCAACATAGGCTAAACCTGATTGCTTAACAGCAATAACAAGATTCCATAATGCTCACTGCTAAAATATCATCTATCTCGTTTAGGACCCTTAACGTTAAAGAATCAACCAACTGAAACATTTCGAGAAAAAAAATCAGATACACCTGACCATTTGATTCCATACATGGAAGGCAAAATTTCAAACTTGAAATGAGTGACCAATCTAATTTCAACTGATTCTATCACACTTCAAAATTTTAGCTGAACTAAGAATAGTCACATACAATGACAGCTATGACATGAATCTTACAATGATGTCAAGAAATGAAGTGGTCAGCGGTATTAAGCTATTTTCATATTCATCTACAGCTCTGTCTGGAGAACTAAGCTTCAATTGGTAACAACTCACGATCACAAAACATCTATTGGACTCAGTTTTAGTGTTCTATTTGGATATTGTATATTTTCTAGAGACTAATGTAGCTACTATTACTCTGGCAACAAAATGTTCGAGAATCGTCTAGTCCCAAAACCGAGAAACCTCACTGAATGCTCACAGAGCATCAATTCTCAAAGAGAACTCATTGCTTTCACCAAATAAGATATAAGCATAGTAATTTTCCTCTATATATTTTTAAAAAAACAAAAAAAGCTTCTCTTATTCAATGAATGAGCATTAGAAAACTTTTTGGGATGATGAGGCTTTCTTGATTTCTTTAACTTTCTTCTTTTTTGATAAGTCAATTACGTTCTTTCACTTTGATCCTTTTTCCAAAAAGAAATGTAAATGTTAGAGCAAGAATGACAGAAATCAGTTGGGTTGTTAGGCCCTATGAACGAAATGAAAGAAAAATGTAAGGAAGTCTGCAAACATGTCACAAAGAAGCAGTAAAAGTACACATTATGTGCCACAAAGGAGCAGCGAGTACAGGGGTAATCTGCAAGAACTGGCTTAAAAATCCATGAGAACATATGAAATGCTACATTCATTTGTTTATTCTTTTTTACTTTTTAACTTAGTTGCGCGGACTCTTCACTTTTGATGCCGCACCCGTCTCGGATTCTCCAAAAATACACTACTTTTGGCGAATCCGACACGCACCCGTTGGCACTTTTGAAGAATCCGAGCAACATAGCTTTTTAATAGGAAAAATACTGGAACCAATATTAGAATTCTAATTAACCATATAAAACGGATAAACTTTGTTTACAGGATTACAGAAGCTGAAATGGAAAGGAATGCAGATTAAAGTCAAATAGAGTTTCAGAACCATCACAAGGCTAGATGGTGAATCAGTTATCAGGTTAATGTCATTTAAGTATGACTAGTCTCAACTAACAGCTAAAACTCCTAAGAACAGAGCTGAATTAAGATATTGTAATACAGGCGTAAGCATGAGAAGAAAGTACAGGAAATTGAACTCTACATAGCGTTAAGGGGCAGTTCAGAGAGAAAGAAAGTCAGAAAAAGGGAAGAACGTTAGAACACGAACCTGAAAAGTAGTTTTGAGTGCTTCATCAACTGCTTAAAATGAAAGGGGTCAGGAACAGCAAATTAACAGTGTTGAAGGAGATATCAAGAGGGAGTAGTATATTTATTACCTTGCTCCATTAAAGCTTCAAAGTCTGTGATCGTTTCTTCTGAAATCACACACATGGCAGAGCTCGTTGAATTAGGGATAGTACTGCTCTAATTCAGCCTATTCCTATGCTTATTACTCCTATAATGGCCAAAACCACCCAATCGACACTTCAATTTTGATGGCACTTTCTTGAGTAAGTTCTTTATACGTCACCACATTACCATGAGTAAATACTTTCCTTCCTAAAGTGAACCAATGTGACAGTATGTGCAAGTTAATTGACTTTAGGAGAATAAATTACATGCTTCCTTCCTCAAACCCCTCTTGTTTAGAAAGAATAAACCAAGTGCTTTCCCTCATCTTTAAAGACATTTATATTTCAAATTTGTAGTTAATTCCTTTAAATATTCACCAATTATACAAAACTTGAAAGAGCATGTTCTTGTCACCATCTATCCGTCAACTCTGGTTCAACCAATGTTTATGTTGTTAACATCATTTTCATAGTGAGGGCAGCCAAATCCACAATGCTATTGACAAAATCTACTCGGGCAATGCAACTTCGTCCTTTTCTTTTCCTTATGGTAAATGGAGAGACTATTGGCTATTGCTAGAAAATTTTGTTTAAAAGTAGCATTTTCTTCTTTTGATTTCAATCCTTTCTCTGTTTCATCCTTCTCATAGATGACCAACTATAGTAACTTGATAAGACTAACACTAGGATGGTATGATCCTTGCTTAATATGATGAATTCAGGTAGTGGGAGCAATAGTGTATGATCCTCGGCTCCTCAATACAATGGATAACATATGTAATTTCCAAAGGAATATGATGTTTTCTACAATGCCTCAATTATATGCAGATGTTTGGAAGACCAGCATTATACTCCAAAATGTCCATAAACAGGGATGGATTAGACTAATAAACATGTCATAATACAAGAAGACGCGAAACTAAAGAGGAATCATGATGATCACACGACTATATAACAGCAAAATCTTGCCAGCTATAGTCATGAACTAAAGTCACATCTTTTATGAATCTTTTTAGGCACATGAGCTAATCTTATGTATATCTTAAAGCAATAAGTAGGAAAATTTACGATACTATAGTATACTCATGTTCCCAGCTCTATACAGAAAGTTGCTTATAATTGAGTAGCTGAAGTTAAGTGACCATAATTATTTGCACTGTGATAAGGCAGATTCTGCTGATGTTGCAAAAGTAAACCATATACTGCAACCCTCTAGAGCAAATTATAGTAACTCTTCTCTTCATCTATATAAAGTACTTCGGAGAAAGATGACCAATACACCACAACATGCCGAGGCAGAAGAAGATTAACCAGGATCTAGTCCGTAAACAGAGAAAACAGAAGAAAATGATCCAGTCCAGAAACTAACAGCTACAATGTACATGCCTCCCAAAAGAGAAAAACAAACAAGAAGAATGCGTGTAAAAAACAACATAAAGAAGATATCTTCATGTCGAGAAATTTTTCAAATTAAGCCGCTAACAACAAAAACTTACTTCTCAATACCAATTGGGGAAAAACTAATACCTACCAACCAAAAAAAAATCATTATCATCCAAAACTTGGACATCTCTTTCCCCAATAAAGTTTTCCCGTCCAATTTTCTCAACAATCTTCACAAACTCCTCTCTCTTTGCCTTTGTAAGTGGAACATAGGGAAGGCGAAAAACAGGCCTCACAACCCCAAGTTGAGCTAAAGCTGTATTCAGAGCAATGGGGTTTGGCTCATGAAACAACCATTCAACCAAGGGCATTAGCTTTGAGTTCAAAACAGGGTTATTTCCTCCAAACATTAGTTCACGCATCAGACAAGGAACCAAGTTGCTGGTGACAGAAATAACTCCCGTAG